CGTATAATTTCTGTTTCAACTTAGTGGTTAAGACTTGTACATGATCACGATAAGTCAAATGTTTGTCCCGTCTGCTAATGTGCTGCAGTGATCCCTGCTTCTGTGTGTGCGTGCGTGCGTGTGTGCATGTGTGTGTGCGTGCGTGTGTGTCTTTCAGTGAAAGAGAAGGTGAGCTAGGAGCAGAGCCAAAGCTAATTTAGAAAATGGGTTACGATTGTAGATCACTTCATGTAGGGCAGACGTGTCCGAGCTAAAGCTTCCACTRGAAGTGTGTGTGGGAGTGGATATTCAGGATTTATTTATAGTGTTTGAAGTAGTTTTCTGTTTTAAACTTGTGTATAAATAATGAGAACAATGTCGTTTCAAGGACACAGAGTAGAAGGTACTAATAACACATAAAAACAACAAAATGCTAAAAGCTGCATTTAAAAACATTAATATATCAAAAACATTTAGTCTGTAAATATGACCTAATGAGGATATTAGTCTATAAATATGACCTAATGAGGATGAACAGCATTTAAAACTGTTTAGGACTGATGTGGATTATTTAATGGAAACTAATGAACGTTTCCTAATAAGACGTTACTCTTTTTTTWAAGTCTTTCAACATTTTTTGTCTCATTTTCAGTCCCTGATCGTTTTCAGGTGAATATTTTTAACATTAACTTTGACCTGTGAACCATTTAGGCACAAAAACCTTCACAACTCGAGGGATGAACCAGTGTTGTGTCGACAGGTAACAAACTTAAAGAAAACAGATTTTAAATTGGATCTTTAGACACTTTAATATCAGCAGCCTGTCACAGAAACTCTACTTGTTTTTGTTTTTGTTTTTTTGCTTCATTTAAGTAAAAAACAAAGATAAAAAATGGTTTATTTTTTTCTGATGGGACTTTGTTTTTGTTTGTATGAATGAGAGCTACAGACCACCATGTAACTTCTTTAAACTGTCTGTTCCCCGTCTGCTTAATGAGGTGAAAACTTGACATTTATTCAACAATCTAAAAGGRCTTTGTTTACAYTGAGCACGTACCTGCATTTTACAAGCAWATCGATATAAAACTACCAGATTCACCTCTTTTAAACTTGACTATTTAATTTACTTCAGGATACTTTGCAGTGAGTAGTTTTAAAACATTTGCAAGAATCGTTAGAAGCGAAATGTAAATAATACAAGTTGAAACTGCCACTTTGAAGGAAACTGGCAGCACAAGTTGGTCTTTAGTTTATAATTTTATTACAGTATATTTAACATTCAGATTGACTTTAAACGTTAGAAACATTAAAGCATTTTTACCATGAAATAGCTGTATAAACAGAGATATTTTTAACTTATTTTCTTTTTCAGATGGTTCAGTAGACCAGGGGTGCAGAAAGGATTCACTGTAAAATAAAAGCTTCAGTTTTAATCCTAACTCAGTTGTTTTGTTTGTGTTCAGCAGAGAAGCAGCAGAAGGAGGGCTGGAGTTCTCGGCTGCACAAGTGGCTGTACGAGCGCCTCGGGGTCTACATCGAAGACTTCCGCTTCCAGCCAGAGGAGAGCACCGTGGAGGCAGAGGAACCGCTAAGTGCTAAAAGGTGAGAGACGCAGAATCTGTTCAAGTTCTTAGTTTAGTTTTAAAATGCTGGTTAGCGTCGAGCTAAGCAGATGAGCTTTAAAGCAGCTTCGTTTTCCACCGCTCCTTTTCTTTCACCTCCTCTGTAAAGAAATGAGTCACGACAGACTTACGAAGGCCGCAGCGACACCTCCTCTTCCTCCCACACACAGAAATGAGCTTTTTATCTTTCTCTTAACCTTCAATTTGTGTTTCTCTTTCAGGTTGACAGAAAACATGAGACGACTCAGTGAGTACTCAAAGATCAGAGTATTTCAGTGAGTACACAGTACTGTTTGTGTRAATGTGAAAATGTTCCTCCTCAGARCGAGGAGCCAGGCCTGTCACCAACTTCTTAAGGAACCTCTCAGCCTTATCCAACTGGCACTCAGTCTACACCTCAGCTATTGCCTTCATTGTGAGTTTGATTCAGTTTCTGACTTTGAAAGGATGAGAAAAGCAAACGTTGAGCTGCTGACGTTTGATTTTTACTTCAGATCTACATGAATGCTGCTTGGCACGGTTGGGCTGTTCCCATGTTCCTCTTTCTGGCCATCCTGCGCTTGTCCTTAAATTACCTCATCGCCAGGTAAGTGGCGTCACTTAGTTTGTGTTTGAGATGAGAATTCAGCACGGTGGGTTTTATTATCAGTGTTTGTTTTGCAGAGGTTGGAGGATCCAGTGGAGCATTGTGCCTGAGGTTTCTGAACCCATGGTGAGAAAACGTCGCACTTTCTGCACCAGAATGAGCTCAAGTTCAAGTTTGACTTGATTTTTTTTCTCTTTTTTTATCATTTTTATTTCGAACAATTTAAATAATAATAATAATA